TAGCAATAATCCCGGACATATTAGCAAAAATAATGGCGCAAGTAGTTAAGCGTTTAATATGTAATGTTATGTCGTGCAGCAAGTAGAAAAGTGCGTCACTGGTGGAAAACGAAATCTTGGCAGGAGTGGTGCTGGTTGCGATGCGGGGTGAGCAGACAAGCATTGGGAAGGCAGCTGAATACCAAAGTGCGTTAAGTTCGCTTTAAATCAGCGATTATAAATTCATGCCTACGGTAGTAAGTGATATGGCACGAAGGTACAAAATACCCTTTCGAGCGCATTACGTGTGATAATGCTGAGTAGGAGACATTTGCTTAGCCTGTGGAATTAATTGAAGGCACCTTATCCTCACCGAAAGGTTTTCTGAAAACGTTTTCCAGTAAAAAAGCATCATATAAACTATTTTTGTTTAATTTTTAAAAGTTTCTAAGGTAGATGCGCTCTTACTATAGCAGACAGAAATGCAGGATACACCTTTTTGATGAGTTCAGTAGATATAAGATCGAAGTATAAAATCGAATTTGGTGAAACGACAACAAATTTGAAAAAATGTGTTTTTTGAAGAACAATTTCAAATAAATTAAGGCTGAATGGAAGGATTCCGCTCTCGAGCTACTGCTTAGGGACAGTATAATTAAGTAGTAGTAGTAGTAGTAGTAGTAGTAGTAGTTTTCAAAGCATATTCAAAGTAGAGGGTTGTATTGTAAGTCGATGTGTAGAGTTAAACCTCCAATGCAACTATCGCAATGAAAGATTTTTTCGTATGAGGTCAAATCACTATTGGTGCAGGAGTACGACTAGTTTATCAGATCGAAACCAAAACCTTATTTGGGTGTCATTCCTAGTTGTTTAACATGGGTCTAGCCAATTCTTGTTCAAATTTCCGGTTCTGCGACTTGGAGTATGAAATACTGGAACAACTGCTAATCAATGCCCCGCTGTCTGTATGTGCAAGATAAAGGCCATTGGAATTTATCAATTTGTCGGGGATAGTTGAGACATTGTGACTAAGGGGAGGACACATTAGACACTAGGTTGCGGTGGAGTCCTTATTTACTTATCGAATCTTATCTACATATAATAATCAGATACACACAAAAATTTATGAAAAGTTCAATTTTCAGGTAATTATTTGTTATTCCCAAATAGCAAACAAAACTGTTTTTACTGCTGCAGTAATTGCTGCTGATTGATAAAAAATTATAAAAGAATGTGAATTTATAAGGTCTTGCCTATGACCCAAAAAAAAAAACAAAAAAAAACGACAAAAGACGACAATATTCCACACAAGAATTCGAATATGATCGGATAGCGCAAAAAAAATTTTTTTTTTTTTTTTTTTTTTTTTTTTTTTTTTTTTTTTTTTTTTTTTTTTTTTTTTATTTTTTTTTTTTTTTTTTAAATTCTTCTTTGTTTACAAACCCTTTAGTGTCGCCGTGT